AAAGCGAGCTGAGCAGGGCTAAGCGTTACCATGCATTGGAAATGAGGCTATAAAAACATGATAAAAATTTGTTCACTGTCACAATCAGCTACAATAATGCAGGCTACAGTGTGTGTAAGCATGAGAGCACAATTCAGACTGATGGCAGAGACAACTTAAGCCCTGGATATACTTGCTTTTTAACAATGCATAAACAGCTTTGTTCACATACCTGCCTGCGTAATTTGCATGTACCTGGAGGATTAAACCTGAATCCACTAGGGGGCAGACCAGGACGAGGTAATGATTGCCAACACCGCATTATCTTCCTTGACAACCTCCGAATTTGCACACGCAAACAAACATAGCGACACTTGAGCAGGTTGTGATTTTAATGAGACATAATCTCGGTAATTGTGGACTAGCACCAGGAGTTTTACTGTAAACATCCCGCCACAAAGATCCTTTTTTAAAGTCTGCTGCTGACTTTCTTCTTATTTTGCGTTTAATGACAGTTGCCAAACCAACTGCATACCGCCACCACCTGGGCTGGTGTGTGGATCAGTAGATTGCTGCTGACCTGCCGGTCAGATCGACATACTGCCCCCACGTTCATGTGTGGAATTGCATCTCACGGACGCATTGCGTAAATTTCTGGAGCCTTGCAAGACCTACGCTCCAAAGGAACACGCAGGAGACGCATGGCAGCCATCTTGCGAACGCGTAGTTAAAAGCAAGAATATCCAGGGCTTTAGAAGACGTGTTTAGGGGCCTGACTGCCTGGAGGAAAAAGCTGGTTCAGAGCCTGTCAGTAGCAGCCCAGATTTTCAAGTACCCGGACCAGGTAGGTGAGCAGGGGAGGGGAGGAAAGACTCTGCAACAATGGTGGCTGCACAGCGGATGCAGTATTGGTGAAAGAGGTCCGTGATGGATAGGAGATAGCCCCTGATTATTCTCTCAGCTGTCCTGACTTACCCCTATGTTTTAGCTGCTGTCAGCCTGTTCATCAAGTGTGCAGTTGTTTTCTGTTGTAGTAGGTTCTAACCGTTAGTTTTCCAAGAGTGTTCCATTTCATTGAAATACATAGCATGTAATTTCCCACTTTTTGCAGTAACTCTGTTTGTAATTTGTAAATATTTAAAATTGTACAATTTACCGACTCACGATTCACAAAGTGCCACAGCCTCATAATGTTTGACATGTTATGTCTTATCAATCAGCAGGTTAAATTCAACAGAGAACTAAATCTTTTTAAACTGAACAACTACAGTGGCTCCACCAGAACACCTTGACGTAGCAGTATAACTCAAGTTTTTGAGAGACAATTGTTTTGAATTGGCGCTACATAAATAAAATTTAAATTATTGAAGTTTGGAATGCTCCTCACTGGGCAATGCTTAAATTAAGTGAACATGTATCATGGATCATCACATCACGCCATAATATTTCAAAAGCTTGGATACATAAAATATTTGGTCTGCTCAATGTGTGTGTGTGTGTGTGTGTGTGTGTGTGTGTGTGTGTGTGTGTGTGTGTGTGTGTGTGTGTGTGTACCTGAGCCGCAGTTGCTGAAGCTCCTGCAGTTCTCCCAAAGCACAAGGTAAACTGTTCAGCTGATTGTCATGGAGCTGCCGGAGCAAAATGAACATTTTATGTAACAGCTAAAATTAAAATGACCTCATCACTTTGAGTAACACTACTGATGCCTCACTGTAACACAACCCATCAATATCTGCAAATAATAAAGGCAGTCAAAATAGATGCTATATATTTAGTCTTAGTGACATGGTACATAGCAGGTTCTACAGTTAGAAAGTTATTAGGTTAGGCTAGGGCCACATTAAAGAAGCTCTGGGTCAATGGATCAGAGCGGCCACATTGTTACTATTTGTACTAACTTAGCTTGTTTGTTATTTCACCGTTTTAATTATACTTCATTCTCCACCTTATTTAAGTGTCACTCATTTATTGATTCTGCCTCCTTCAGTGCTCTTCACACTCACAGGCCTAATGTACCTCTGCTGCAAACAAGACAGTGTGCCCACTTCTTTTGGTCAGCGAAAAAAAACCCCAAAAAACAGCGCTGCATGTTGAGGAGGCGTGTTGACGAGGTAATCTATCGAAACAAACCCAACATGGTAGCTTAACGAATGACATCTGACTGGTGTCTTCACTGTCGCTTTACTTGGTCTGCTCTTGTGAAATATCCACCGTGTTCTGACTTGTAACACAACAATTTGTCTCCAAACCCGGGCAGACCGCTGAAGTGTATGTGTGGGAAACACAGACTGAATCAGCGTTTTTTTCTTTTTACAAGCCAGGTCTTCAGGAGTGTCGACCGGCACTGTCTCCCTCCGTGTTGTTAGAGAGTTTGAGAGTAGACGGCAGCATGCAGAGGGAGAGCGAGGACCAAACGCTGGCAGGATTTTAAAGAAACATTAACTCAACATCAAACTATATTGGTATAAACGGTATTAGGGTTGCTACCTGTCAATACAGAAAAATAAGTGACACCTGCCAAAGCAGGGGCCCCACTGTCCCGGCAAAGACAGGCCCGATGGTCTGCCAGTGGTGGCATATCATAACTTAAAATATGTTTTCAGGAAAGTATTAAGATTGATACCAATGAATGTTATGATCGGCTATTGAAATCAACAGAGGAACTCAGTCTATCACAACTCAACAGACTAGTGATCATATTGTCATAGCTGAATACACAGCTATGACAATAATAATAAACATAGGACAACAATGTGTGACAGACCACAAAAAAAGGATGTAAACTGTATTTTATTAACTTATTATATCAACATGTCCATAACTTAATTATCTATAAATAGGCTAAAACAAATGCTTTGATAGGATTCGACTGGAAAGACTTTTACATAAAAATCATGAACATCATTGGACCAGAAGTAGTAGGCCTTGTGTGCAGTATTGGAGCGTGTTAGGCCCACTTAATTTTATAAATGTTTTCTTGTCAGAAGTACACTACTGGTGCAGCACTGAGTAACAGTTTGTCTTTCAGAATGCTACAGTAAAACTGAACAGAAAAAGCTCACTCCTAATGATTTCCACAGAGCACCTGTTCTTGCTGAGAAATTGCTAATGAACCTGAGTAATTGTAAAGGGTGGTGTGAACACAGATTTTGGCTAAAATGTGTGTCATTGTTTGCAGTAATACCATCCAAACAATGAAACCATACATAAATAATCCATCTACAAACATTTCTCAATTTAATTCAACAGCATTTTAATGACTGTATGTAAATATATTTACAGTGGGGAGAACAAGTATTTGATACACTGCTGATTTTGCAGGTTTTCCTACTTACAAAGCATGTAGAGGTCTGTAATTTTTATCATAGACTTCAACTGTGAGAGACGGAATCTAAAATAAAAATCCAGAAAGTCACACTGTATGATTACCCACTCATTACCTGTATTAACTGCACCTGTTTGAACTTGTTACCTGTATAAAAGACACCTGTCCACACACTCAATCAAACAGACTCCAACCTCTCCACAATGGCCAAGACCAGAGAGCTGTGTAAGGACATCAGGGATAAAATTGTAGACCTGCACAAGGCTGGGATGGCCTACAGGACAATAGGCAAGCAGCTTGGTGAGAAGGCAACAACTGTTGGCGCAATTATTAGAAAATGGAAGAAGTTCAAGATGACGGTCAATCTCCCTCGGTCTGGGGCTCCATGCAAGATCTCACCTCGTGGGACATCAGTGATCATGAGGAAGGTGAGGGATCAGCCCAGAACTACACGGCAGGACCTGGTCAATGACCTGAAGAGAGCTGGGACCACAGTCTCAAAGAAAACCATTAGTAACACAAATCCTGCAGCGCACGCAAGGTCCCCCTGCTCAAGCCAGCGCATGTCCAGGCCCGTCTGAAGTTTGCCAGTGACCATCTGGATGATCCAGAGGAGGAATGGGAGAAGGTCATGTGGTCTGATGAGACAAAAATAGAGCTTTATGGTCTAAACTCCACTCGCCGTGTTTGGAGGAAGAAGAAGGATGAGTACAACCCCAAGAACACCATCCCAACCGTGAAGCATGGAGGTGGAAACATCATTCTTTGGGGATGCTTTTCTGCAAAGGGGACAGGACGACTGCACCGTATTGAGGGGAGGATGGATGGGGCCATGTATCACGAATCTTGGCCAACAACCTCCTTCCCTCAGTAAGAGCATTGAAGATGGGTCGTGGCTGGGTCTTCCAGCATGACAACGACCCGAAACACACAGCCAGGGCAACTGGCTCCGTAAGAAGCATCTCAAGGTCCTGGAGTGGCTTACCAGTCTCCAGACCTGAACCCAATAGAAAATCTTTGGAGGGAGCTGAAAGTCCGTATTGCCCAGCGACAGCCCCGAAACCTGAAGGATCTGGAGAAGGTCTGTATGGAGGAGTGGGCCAAAATCCCTGCTGCAGTGTGTGCAAACCTGGTCAAGAACTACAGGAAACGAATGATCTCTGTAATTGCAAACCAAATATTAACTTCTGCTTTTCTGATGTCATGCAATAAAATACAAATGAATTCTTTAAAAATCATATGTGATTTTCTGGATTTTTGTTTTAGATTCCGTCTCTCCCAGTTGAAGTGTACCTATGATAAAAATTACAGACCTACAGACAGAAAATCAGCAGCGTATCAAATACTTGTTCTCCTGACTGTATATATTTATTTTTCATTCAGTCTATTGTTCATTCTATAGTATGGAAGGATGCAATTCTATAGACTGGTTAAGCATAACACAGTTGTTTAAATTCTTCACATAGGCACTATATTTTGATAATTAAATGTGTATTAAATAGCCTATATCTCTTATCTTTTATTGAATTAATGCTGATGGGTCCGACTGTATACCTCTACCTTAAAAAACAAATCATACCATAATGTAGGCATGTGCTTCATTTACATTGTAACAATATTTCTTAACAAATAAGCAGCATATGAAATCCATCGTTATCTATCAAAAAATGTGTACGTTTTATTAAATTATTACACTGCCTTGTAATGCTGTCATACGTCTGAACGGCCACCATGCACCACACAGAACTGTGCCAATTTTTTTTTTCAGGTCATTAGATGGCGGGCCAGAACATAGTCAATTTATTATTTTATGATCTTAGCTCAGTCAGTAGTGCGCAGAACTCCTGTTTGAAGGGCTGTGTTCAATTCTCCCTTGCTGCTTGTATTTTTTTCTTACTTTTCAACAAATTGATTATGAAGAGATTGTTTTACATCCAGCACAATTAAGCATGTGCAGGAGTGTGTGTGTCCTTTCGACTGGTCCACATTAATTTCCCCAGTATCTCCAGGCAGAGAAAATTCATGCTTTTCTCATTCAGGGGAATCCGATCTCACGTTTTCTGACAGCTTTTTCAGAGGTGTGTCAAGCAAGCCAGAATTTCCTTCAAAACTTTTCAAAATAAAAGCTCTCAAATAAACATGGCATATAGTACTCTGCAAAAATGATCTCGCACTTGTATTTTGTAGCCACAACCACTTAAAAGGCAGTGCCAGCTGCTATAATTTTTTTTTACCGCTATCACATTAATCTGGCCCATGTAGTATTACAGTGGTTGCCTATTGCCGACCACTGTAATACTACATGACTGTCTACAATGAGGACCTGCAGCTTTGAGATTTCACACTAACGTTTCACATTTGAAGGAGGCGCTAGAGAACTTTGTCTTTCAGGAAGCCGCATTACATTCTTGTTCAGCTCACATTTATGTCCTATCTGGTTAAATCATTTCAGACTGTAACTACAGACAAGCAGCTAGCTGCAAAATTGGAAAACTGCGCAGAGGATGGCAAGAACTATTGATAGCAATGTTCATACTTTCCACTTCAGTGCGTGTTAAATTAATAACTTAGTGCTTGAAAAAAATTTCACAAGCATAACAAGCTCTGTAACAATTTAACGACAGGTCGCCATGGGCTGTAAATGACTAATACAGCGCTGTTGAGCCCCAACAAATTACCGCAGGGGAAATTAATTCACTGAGACATCCCTACAAGGAGCTCACAGATATATTTAGAACAAGCTAAACACTATAGTTTAATCGCTCATTAATGTTAGCGCTCCTCCACTGAAAAACATAGCATTGGCTTTGTGGCTAATTTAGCCATTTTAAAACGGGCAGCGTTAGCTGCTGTAAGCGATGTTAATATTTAGAAGTGATGAACTAGGGAGAAATGATAGGACTGTTTGTTAGAATTGCCACACCGTTTCAGAAATAATTCTACAATCAAGTCTGTTAGCAGCGTAGCCTCCACCACTCACCTACTGTAACATAGGGCTGAACGAGTTGCGGAAAAAATCCAATTGCAATTTCTCTGCCAGATATTGAGATTATGATTCGATTTGCAATTTTTGGTTTGTTTTTAAGTTTAGCTCAAGTTCAATATTCACTGCCAGTCAATTTCTGATGGAAGCCGCATCAAGCAGCACAGAGCCGATGAACCAGGCAAGAAGTCAGACACAGAACGGCATAGAGAATCCGGTCGATTTTGCAGACTCCTGAACCTATATAAACAATAAACAGACAAAAGAATAATAATAGAAGCACTAAATAAAGGACAACAGAACAAATCAACAAAATCTGA